CGGGACAGCCCCCCCACCCCGTTCACTGGGGATACTTCCTTGTACGGCCAGTGTCGGGGCCACAGGGCTTGGGGTAGGATTGTGCAGTCTGCTCCTGTGTCTGCCCAAAACTGAAGTCCTATTACATGAGGGTCCTGACTGTCATAAAGGCGGCAAGTCCCCCAGATTTTCGGGGGTTCCCTCCCTATTTTTAGGGCCAGGGCCACCCAGGGGTTGTCCCGTTCTGAGGCGCCCCCTGCTGACCCTGTGGCACAGGCGCTGCTTGCGGTGGCGGTGGGTACGAAGGCGCTGCAGGCTGTGCCGTGATACTCGCTGGCAGGGGTATGAAGTTGGCTGCTTCCTGTGGGAGAATGGGGTACGAGGGCTCCCCGCCCCATTGGGGGTTGGCATGGATGGGCCGCCTCATATTCGCAGCGGGAGGGGGCTGGGTGCGGCCCGCTGGCCCTCTCCCCTTTCCGTTTCCCTGGAGCCGGGACCTGCATTCCCTAGCCAGATGTCCCTTCCTCCCGCAGCCCCAGCAGGATCCCCGCGGGCGCGTTTGGGGCGGAGGCGCTGCGGCGGGCCGCCGTGCCGGCTGTGGGCAGCTCACCGCGATGTGACCCGCCTCCCCGCACTTAAAACACGCCATGGCATTGGTCAGGGTGTGGACGGCTGCCTGAATGGGCGTCAGGTGTTCCTCCCTCACTACATGTCTGATCATGTCCGCCAGGCTAGCCCCGGCTGGCAGGGAACGTAAGATATCCTTAGTGACAGAGTTGCACTGCTGACGCAGGCAGTCGGCCACCACGGGGCCCCTTGCCTCTGCCGGCAGGGTAGAGGAATCTATCGCTGCCTGCAGGCGATCCACAAACTGTGTGAAGCTTTCGCTCTCTGCCTGCCTCACGGTGGACCATGGTGCTGGCTTAGCCACGACTCGGGAGGCGGCACGAATTGCCTCTCTAGCAGCCCGAGTGGTCGCTCTGACCTCCTCAGCCTGCATCTGTGCAGCTTGCTGCTGTGGTGTGATCATATCATCATGCTTTCCTATCAGTCTGGATAAGCTCGATCTGTGTAGAGGCTGCCGCGCGCCGGACGCCTGGGCTAGCTGCTTTCTGCAATTATCCTCCCACTCCTGCCTAAAGACGATCATTCCCGCTCCGTCTAATAACATACGCCCTATCCGTTCGATATCAAAGGGAAGCAAGTCATCATTGCTAAAAAGACCATCGATCAACGTAGTAACTATAGCCGAGTTGATCCCCTTTTCCGCAATGGCTTTGACAATTGACTGTATATCTTTTGGGTTTATCGGGGTATAGACCCTTTGTTGGTTCCCTTCCGGACCGGTAAGCCAGACTGGGAAGGCTTGTATAGCGGCCGCCGGGGACCATTCAGCACAAGCTATCTTTATTTTCCCCCAGTCAGTAAACTGGGCTGATTCGTATTGTATTTGTTTTTCGGCGCGGCTTAGAGCTTTACCCGGCTTTGTTTCAAGCCGTGCCGGTTCCGTTTCGTCTGAATCGGAGCCATCGCTAGCTTCCGTCAGCTCCCCTGAGCTGCTGGAGCTGTTGCTGCTCTCCGAGCCGGAAGACGAGTGCCGGCGTACTTCCGGGGCTCCCTGCCGTTTTGTTCGGCCCCGGGCTCGCTCCCCCCCTCAGGGGAGGGGCCGTTCCCGCCCCCCCGGCTCGCCGCGCCTACCGCGGGGGGTGGTTTTTGCCTTATATGGTGGCGGCTCCCGGCGCAGCTGCCGATCGGTTCTGTGTCCCGCGCCGCCCTCCGCCCCTTTCTCCCGCGCGCGCGCATTCCCGAGATCGCGCTCCCCCCCTCGGGTGTTCGCGCCGGGACCGCCCGAGCCCCGCCCCTCCCCCTCGCTCCCGGCGCCATTTTCAAACGGATATGGGGGCGGCGTGGCCACGCCGTCTTCCCAAACCGCCGTTTCGGCGGCTCTGGCTTCTTTTAGCAGCCCTTGCCAGAAGCGCTCCGCGTGCTCTTGCGTCTCCGGTATCGGATCGCGGGCGGGCGGCGGCGGCGGCTCGGAGGAATTTGCGGTCTCTCGGGGGGTTTGCGCGGCGGGGGGTTTTTGGGGATTTTCGGCGGCGGGGGTGTCGCGGGGGGTTCCTGCGGGGGGGGGTGGGCTCTGATCTGGGGGAGTGGGTGTCGCGCTGAGCCCCCCTGGGTCCCCGCTGCCGAGCGAATCGCTCTCAGGGGCAGTCTGCGTCCCCGCCCCCACGCCGAGTTTAGGAGTAACTAATAAACACGTGCGCGCCGCGGTCCATGTCTCCTGCTCCTCTATCGCTTTGCGTAGGGCTTTTTCTACTCTCCCCCATGCTTTAAGATTTCTGCCGCTGCCGGAAGATTTTGTGTCTTCGGCTAGCGCGGCAGTGCATTTGTCCCATATTTCCGGATGTAATACATCCACGGGACGCTCGATTGCCCCTAGCTCAAGCAATCTCGCCATGGCAAGATGAAAATCCTTGAGCTTACACCCAATACCCCACTGTGAATAAATAGCACTCACGATCCTTGCCATTGCGTCCATGACGCCCGCGGATCCTAGGGGGACGTCTCCCCTTACGCCTGGGTACGGTCCCGCCGTCCTGGCCGCTGCTTCTGTCCAGGTGAAACCCGTCCGCCGGGCAAATTTTTCTTCTTTTGTCCCGGGTTTCGGCACCAGTATGTTGTCTTTATGAAAGACAACCAGGAGCCTGGTTCAGATAAGGCAGCACGGCGGCCTGGTCTCGTCCAAGCCGCTCGGGCTAATCAACACACGCATACACCAATATGGCAGACGGTTGAAAAGCGTTTATTATCCTATTTCGTGGGTTTATATAGGTTTAGGAGTCTTTGCTACGTCAGAGGGGGGTTTGGGGTCTCGGAGGATAGTGGGTAGTGGAATTTTACCAGGACAGGTGTGGCTACATTCTTTTCTGACTCCTGGGGTAGCAGATAAGCAGGGGAGAGAGAGGGGGGGAAGGGGTCTACCTTTCCGTGACATTCCGGTAATCTTCCGCTTCGCCTGTCCCTATCTTACCACAGTATGTGACCTGATATGCATCACATAAAAGGGTTGCTCTCGGTGGGAGACTAGCTTAATCAGTTTCGAGAGCAACTTGTGCAGGGCTTCGTTGGACACACCCTGCAGGACAGCATCCTGCGCTCTAGACACCACACCAGCTACATATGCTGAATCAGTTACCAAATTAAAAGGTTCAGAGAATCGCTCAAAGGCCCTGACGACGGCAGCCAACTCAGCTATTTGAGGGGAGCCTTCCACCTCCACAACATCTGTCTCCCACTGCTGCGTCTGGGGGTCTTTCCAAGTTATTACAGACTTGTGGGAACTCCCGGACGCGTCTGTAAAAACTGTTAAGGCTTTGAGTGGTTTTTTGCTCTGAATTTGTTTGATGGACAATGCGAATTGAATTTCTGATTCAAAAATTTTGTGGGCTGGTCTCAAAACTGAAATTTTGCCTGTGTAGCTGTCTAGAGAGAACTGCAGGGATTCATTTTCCTGTAACAGATGTTCTAGCATGGCCTTGGTGAATTGGCCTGATTCCAATTTGATGGGAATGTGAATGCATTCGAAGTCACATCCAGCTAACTCTCTGATCCGAGCTCTTGCTTTGCGGATCAGTTCCGCTACTAACTCCTGTGGCCTTGTCATTCTCTTGGACCGATGGTGACTTAGGAAGACCCATTCTATGATGGAGAGTGGATCCCTTCGGTCTTGGTCCTTGCCCTTCCTTGGGGTGTCTGTCCATTGAAATATCACACCATGGAGGTGTGGCAGTCTGCCCAATATGATGAATTTAAAAGGCAGGTCCGGATCATACCGGTGGGCCTGTCTGGCAGACATTGTCTCCTGGACCCTAATCAAAGCTGCTTGGGCCTCTGGGGTGAGTTCCCTCGGAGAACTCGGCTCCTCCCCCCCTTTCAATAAATCGAAAAGAGGGGCTAGGTCTCTGTTTGTAATGCCTAGCCATGGCCTCACCCAGTTCAAAGAACCGCACAGCTGCTGGATGTCTGCTAGGGTCCGAATTTTGTTTTTAATGGCCAATTTTTGCGGAGTAATAGTCCGCTTGGTAATTTCCAAGCCCAGGTACTTCCAGGGTGGCATCTTTTGAATCTTATCTTCTCGCAGCTCGAACCCTGCAGCAACCAACGCATCAGTTGTCAGGTTAAGCGCGTGTGTAAGGAGATCGTCATTGGGAGCACAAATCAGGATATCATCCATATAATGCTGGATGATCACGCCCTCGGTGGCTGTACGGACTGGGGTCAGCAATGAAGCTACGTACCGCTGGCAGATGGTGGGCGAGCATTTGAGGCCCTGTGGCAATACTCGCCAGTGGTACCGCTCCATTGGGGCTTCTCGGTAAAGGGACGGAACCGAGAAGGCAAAACGTGGTGCATCGTCTGGGTGGAGGGGAATATGAAAGAAGCAATTTTTGATGTCAATCACAGCCAATTCCCAATCTTTGGGTAACATTGTGGGGGACGGCATCCCTGGTTGGAGTGGACCCATATTTTCGATCACATTGTTGATGGCACGGAGGTCGTGGAGCAACCGCCATTCGTCTTTGCCTGTTTTTTTCAGGACAAAGACGGGGGAATTCCAAGGAGATGTTGTTTCTTGGATATGTCCCTTGGCAAGTTGTTCTGCCACGAGTTCTTGGAGCGCTTTTAATTTTTGTTTGTTGAGCGGCCACTGCTCTACCCAGATTGGAACATCAGAGAGCCAATTTAACTTTTGGGTAGGACGCTCCTCAGTGACCGCTGCCCGAAAAACCTGGGGGGTAAGAATGGTCAATGAGACCCCCCACTGGGCCATCAGGTCCCTTCCCCACAGGGGCTCCGTGTAATCCAGAACAAACGGACGCAGGTAAGCTGTCTGTCTGTTTGGCCCCTCAAATTTGATGATGTTTTTTGACTGTTTTGCCAATTGTGCCCCTCCGACACCTTGAATGTGTCCAGCCACGTCCTGCAACTCCCAACGCGACGGCCAATCCCGTGAGGGAATGACTGTGACGTCTGCCCCTGTGTCCAAGAGGCCGTTAAGCCACTTGTGCTCACCGCCATTCCATATGTAACACTCAGTTTTGGGTCTATCCTTCCCAATCACCTGGGCCTGACACACCTCGTAGACCTGCTTTGCGGTTTTCCTCCACAGGTCTTCTGGGTAGACAGGGGCCCCAGATACAGGTATGGCCTGGGCGATGATTTGCCCTTTGGGAAGGTAGACTGGCGGGTGAGCACAGTGCAGCCACAGCACCAGATGTTTAGGGTTTGCAGGTGTCAAATTGGGTGCGATAGTGATGTCGAGTGGCGTGTATTTTGTGTCCCCAAGGACGATGTACTTACTGTGGAGTTTTCTCCAGGTCCCTGGGTCTTGTGTGTCCACTGTGACAAAGTGCCAATTGCTGTCCCTGAGCAGTAGGGGTTCGGTTAGAGCCAACCTGTATGGAGAGAAGTTGGACTGGGTGTTAAGGATGGGCCTGGGATGGTCGGGGTCCCGACCAAGCCATGCCTGTGAGATGAAATTCCCAACTCCTCCCACGCAGGCTGGTTCACCAGCTCTTGTTCCCCTATTGTGCACTCCAGAAATGTCATGTTTGGTATTGTCCTCAGGTGGGTATGCTAATGTGTTGTCCCTCCTGCCCCCTGATGTTATGTTTCCCACCAAATTTGTGTCCTCACGCAGGGAGGGACTGCGCTGGGAAATCAGTTTTTTGGATGTCCCCCTGAGTTGGAGGCACCTTGCCCTTGCTGCTGTTTTTTAAAGCACAAGAAGTCCTCTTTGAGGGGGCAGTGAGATGCCCAGTGTCCTTTCTTATTGCACAGGTTGCAGGGCCGTCCTGGATGGTAGCCTTTGGGTGGTGGCCCAGTGAAGCGGCGTGCAGGAGCCGGAGCCGTGGATGGCGTGTGGGCTTCGGCAAAGGAGACTCTCCGTGATGGCGTTTGGGGTGTCCCCGGAGGGTCTTTTGAAGGCAGGGTGACCCTTCGAGCGCACACGTCCAGCATGTCCTGGAGCGTTGGCTCTGGGTTGAGGGGCAGGCTCAGCATCGCCTGTCGGCAGGCCTCGTTGGCATTCTGCAGGGCGATCTGCTTCACCATGCCCTGCCTCAATCCGTCCTCTGGCACCTGCGATTCAGCTGCCCTGTACAACCTGTCTACGAAACTAACGAAAGATTCCTGTGTCTCCTGCTTAATAGAAAAACAGTTAACAACAGGACCACGGGGTTTTAGCTTAAAAAATGCTTTTTCTGCTGCATTGGCAGTTGCTGCCAATGCCCCCCTTGGAATCTTTTCAGCCTGTGTTGTTGCCACATCCCAATCCCCTATCCCGCACAGGTGGTCAATGGTTAACATGCCTCCATCGGTGTCAGAGGAGGTCTCGGCTTTTGCCCAAAGTTGCGGTAATGCATCCCGTACCTCCCGCCTCCATGCGGATTCCCATACCAAAAACTCAGCTTGACTAAGCAAGCACAAAAACAGAGCGCGGATGTCAGCAGGGACGTATTCATTGGAGGAAAGTGTGACTTTTAAAAGTCCCCTAAAGTATTCACTTTCCCGACCAAAGTCTTTTTGGGCTTTGCAAACATTTCTAATTACAGCCTGTGGGATAGGGGTCCACTGTGCCAAGGGTCTGCCCTTCTGCCGCGGGGTGTAGGTGACTGGTGCGGCAGAAAAGGCAAGCAGGGGTTGCGGCAGGTCGCGGCTTCCCCCCTCCCCCCCTCCCTCCTCCTCCGCCCCCCCCCCTCCTCTCGGGAACCGAGGCGTGGGAACCAGAGGGCGGGTCGCGGGAACGGAGGGCGGAGGCAGGACCAGGGCTAGGGGGTGTGGCTGGTGTTATCTCACCCCTAGGGGCGGGGTTGGAGGGAGGACTGCTGAATGATTCATTAGGGGAGGTGCCAGAAGGGGGTGGAGGGGAGGAGTGGGTGGAGAAGTCTCGGGAGTGGGAGGGGTTGGCTGTAGGGCGGAGGGGGTCGTTAGGAGACAAAGAACGCAGGGAGGGGGAGGGGGAGGCCATGTGGTTGCCTCTATCTTGTGTCCTGGGGCAGGGATCTGGGGTTTTAAAACTCACAACTTTGCAACGAGAGGAGGTTTGGGGAGGGGAAGGGTGCAGGGCGATGCCAGCATCGTCCTGCAATGGAGCCTGGGGGTTAGCAGAGAGGCCAGAATCTGCCTGCGGCTGGTTTTGCCGGGATGCCTGTCTGAGAATCCCCGGGCTAGGGAGAGAGGGATCGGAGAGGGTTTTTGGGGGATTTGGGGGGCTTGGGAGGCAGCGTTCGCCCTGCGGTGGCTCTGGCTTCCCTTTGCAGTTATCTTTAACAATATTTTTCAATTGAATTGCGAAGTGGATAAAAATTGAGAGGGACTGATCCTCCTTTTGGGCAATTTCTTTTTCCACTCGGTCCCAGAATTGGACTTGGTACAAATTTTCCTGCGACAGGTCCTGGAAAGACTGCAGAAGCCACCGTGCAAAACGCTTCACGTCTGATTTTTTACATTTCTTCCCTCCCCCCACTAAAATTCCTAGGGTTTGAACATAAATTCTCTCCTGTGACACAGACATTTTTGCACCCATTATGTCGATGTTAAGGCGTGTCACAACCCTCGCGGCTGGTAAAATATCAAAAGAAAAAAAAGACGCCTGTCGGAGACTGGGAAGCCCTCCCTTACAAAAGCCCTGAAGCGGGAGACAAAATGTGGGCTCTTACGCCCTCTTGTGGGGGAAAGAGAAACTCACCCCAAAGGGAGCAAGGCGTACCCAGCCCAGGGGGACCCCGGTAACTCACCACGGGTCCGGCGACGTCCGAAGGCGAAACGAAAAGTCCAGCTGCGAAGTTTTCGCCGTGGGGGGGCCGAGCTTCGGCGGTGCTAGCCAAAGGTGCCGGCCCCACCCCTCTGGAAGCCCTGGCTCCTTAAAACGGAACCACGGCTTGCGAGGGTGTTGTAACGTCCACGAGGTAAATCAACGAGCTTTTCGGGGCTCGGTGGTCCTCAGTCCGTGTGCTTGGAGCTCCCAAGCCCCACGTTGGGCGCCACAACTGCCTTAGCGCTCTGTCTTGCCCCCCTTTTCGTCCCAGCTAGCTCTGTGAGGGGGGGGGGAGCGCTGGCAACTTCCGTGTTTTCCGGCGAACCCTCGCGGGTAACTGCCGGTGCTGCGTGGGTTTGGGAGCTAGGCGAGTCCCGAGGCGAATAAAAGGAGAGAGACTTTTTCCCCCGCGGGCGAAATCTCGGTTTATTATGGCTTGGTTGGGAAGGAAAAAACCGAGAAGCTGCTGCGTGCTGAGTTCGAGTTTGTCCGTGCCGCCTGGCCGATTCAGGGGCGGGGCGGCGTGCTCCGACGCTGGCTGCGATCCAAGAGACGCTGTGTGCAGAGCCGCGGCGCTGCTGCCGGCACGTGCAGGAGCCGCGGCGGCCGCGGCAGCGGCAACAGCACGTGCAGGAGCCGCGGCGGCCGCGGCAGCGGCAACAGCAGCGGTTCGGCTGAGGCAGCGATCACGGGGCAGTCGGGGGCGGCCGCGATCGCCTGGGGCAGCGGCGGCGGTTGCGGCAGGGGCCGGGCGAGAGAGAAAGCCGCGGCGGCACGCAGGGATCCGGCGGGGGAAGAGGCGGCGGGCCGGGCAGCAGCGGCAGTCGGGGCCAGGCGGGAGAAAAAGCACCGGGGCGTCCCCAACCGGCTCTATAAGTACGGGATAGGGGAAACCCGGGGCGGCCAATGAGATAACGCCACGGGGGGACTTGGGGATAGTGGGGTGCAGGGGTCCAATGGGAGATGGACAGATGGAAGGGTGCCCGGTCGTCTCTCGACCCCGCCGCATGGCTGACAGATGGTCTGAGAGACGTAAACAAAGTGACTAAGCACTTCCTCGGGAAGGCAGACCGCGGGGGGAAATGGGAGAACCCGGGAGGTCACTTACAGAGTGCGGGGGGATACATGGAATGACCTTATACATAATAGAACATATAATAACACAATTCCACAGTAATGGAGTCTGATAATACATGATAAAACAAAGCTTTATTGAGACAGTAAGAAAGATGAACAACAATTCCCCCATATAGCAACTCACCCAATCACCAATAGTGAGTACAGGATTATTGCCGTGCGAGATCGGCTCCGGGCGGACGCCTGTGGGCACGGCGAGGAGGGAAGGAGAGGGCGGCCGCTTTCCCCTCGTCTCTGCAAGGCTCAGTTTGCGCGGGAACAGACGGGTGCAAACACGTGTTTGTTGTGGGAGCATGTTCCCCGAGACCCCAGGGGACCAAGCGGGGCTCGTTTATACCCCGTGCCGGGGGCGGGGGGGAACCTGAGCCGCGGCCAATGGGACGGGAGGGAGGGGACGGGGGCAGAGGACAGGGGCAGGGAAACCCTGGGGGTTACAACGGGAAAGCCGCAGGGGGGGGCAGGGACAGACCGCGTGGTGAGGGGAAAGGCGGGGAGGCGGGGGATAGGGACCGGACCGCATGGTGAGAGGGAGTGATAAGGGAACGCAGGGTCAGGACAAGGGACCACGGGGGGGGAAGGGGGAGTGAGATGGGAACGCAAGACAAAGGGGGAATGCGAGGGAAGGGGGAGGGGAGGGGGGGGGGGAAGAAGAGAAAATTACAAATCCCGCACAGGATCATAAGTGAAATGAACAGGTTCTATGCCTTTATTAATAGTCAGCTCTTTATTAAAAAGTCAACTCGGCAGAGGGCTCAACGAGGAGCTCGCCTCCGCTGTTGTAGCTTCTCCCGTAGCCGAAGGGTGAGCAGGCGTGCAGAGTCTGTCCCTGGAGTCTCCATGGCACGCTGGTAGCTGGAGGTGAAGAGGTGTGCAGTCCGTATCTGAAGTCCCAGCAGACCGTCCTCTCTCCTTTCCTCCCGGCACACTGGTGGCCGCAGGGTGGGGGGGATGTGCAGAGCCTGCTGCCGAAGCCCAGCAGCAGCTGTCCCTCTCCTTCCCTCCTGGCAGCACCAGGAAGTGTGTGTCAGCTTTGCTCCTGCTTCCCACAGCCCAGTCCAGTCTCGTCCTCTGTAGGTTATGGTGACAGGTCAAACACAGACTAGGGATAGGGTTCCCTTTTCCCCAACCAGCACACCCATCCAGCCCCCTCCACTGTGCCCATCTTTTCCATTTAGGGGTGTTTTTCATCCCCAAAACCCCCTCCCATGATTCCACTGGATTATTTTGCATCCCAGTCCTAGAATGGTAGTGAGGGTGGGGGGAGGTAGGTGATTCCCAGGAACAATTAGCTAATTAACATTTCAATGTCAGTACTTAGCCCAAGCCAAGTGTCCCAGCCAGGCTGTTTTGTTCATAACAATAAGCAATGCCATGGCTCTGTTGGACTGCCAGGGACATTTGATGTCAGGGTCATCTGGAAGAAACAGCTAATCATGCAAATGCCTTTTAAATGAGGAAAATAATTGTGACAATGTAGGTCAGGTCCAGAGTGTTGGCAGACTGTCTAAGATTACCAGTATTGGTTAAAGGAGAGGGTGTTAGAAGGCAAGATGTTCCTTCCACCCTGTGATTCCCTCAAATCATCACTTGACGTGGAGTTTTAGGCAAGGGTGTTATTTTGATGGGCTGTTAGTTATATAATAATCTAGGTGAGGTTGGTGTTCCAACACCTGCATGGTATGTTATACAGTCAGAGGTTTAAAGGTGGTGTATCACAAGACAGGTACTGTAGAATCACCTCTATCAAGTATCAGTTGTGCAGGCATCTGGGAGGTGATTACTGTTATGAATAGAGAGGAGAGCTTAAACAAGTCCTGACTGATTCAGATTTTTGGCAGTAGCTCTGTTTGGGGTTGCCTGCACCCCAGATCCTTCTTGCTCATGGGTTCTTAATCATAGCCAATTTGGTCCATTACAAAACTAATAATTTATTTAATCAACACAAATTTAACAGACATAAGACTTTAACAGATTACTTCCTACACAGGATAAACAAAAGAAACAATACTAGTTGATAAACAATACAGTGCACGAGTGAGGTATCTATTATTACAGCTAGTGAAGAAATAGTATAGATTAGGATTCAATGTATCTTACCATCCAATTTCTGATGGGGCACACATAGGATCCTTTCCTCTGTTTCTGGAAAAGTAACCACAAAGATGCATCCAAGCTTCAGAAAGTAGTCCTACACATTTCCAGGGAGTGTGTAGGAGACTTCTACCTTCCTGAAAATTTGTGAAGCTTTTGTAGTTGTAAAAATAGTGCCTTTC